ACCCTGTACCTCGACATCGCGGGCGGGCCAGTGCGGTCGCGATTTCCGCCATGGGAATGGACACGCAGAAGAGAGAAGAGGCCCTCCGTTCCCCTCTCGCCCTGGTGTCGTGCCGCAGTGCGCTGTGCTGTTCGGCTCCCGCCCTTGGAACCCTCTCCCTTGACGCCCGCGCGAACTCTCTCTCCTCTGGATGCCAACATCCTGCCAGCTGCGTGCCGGCTGCTTCCTGCTCCAACCGCCTCGCCACCCAAAACTCCGTGCCCGTGCCCGTGCCCCTCCCTCCTCCGCATGGGGGAAACGGGCCCATGGACCCATGCGCCTTCAGGACGAGGCCTCCATCCCGAGCCGCTTCCTGACAGCCCTTTGGCCCGTCCCGAGACCCCGAAAATCCAGAGATCTGACGATGCACAAAAACCTTGCAGCATCGAGAAAAGACACGCCCGGAGTCCTGGACCCCATCTTCCTGCCTCCTTTTTCGAGCCGCGTCGATCTGTGAGGGCCATGGGGCCCGGCAACGAGGGAACATGCCCGGTTCGAAAAAAATGTCCGATGTCTGGCTCTCTCCATCCGCCTCCTCCTGCTCCTGCTCCTGCTCCTGCTCCTGCTCCTGCTCCTGCTCCTGCTCCTGCTCCTGCTCCTGCTCCTCCTCCTCCTCCTCCTCCTCCTCCTCCTCCTCCTCCTCCTCCTCCTCCTCCTCCTCCTCCTCTCGGAACCCGTTCCACCTCCAAGCGACCTCCCCCGCCCGCAGCGCGACCCAGAGGCAGCGGGGCTCCACGGCTCGCCGAGAGGGGCTTGCTATCGCTCGGGCGCCCCGTCCTCGTGCATCTGCCGGCCTCGTGCGCGCTCTTTTGGCCAGAGGATCCAGGATGCTCCTCTCGGGTCGGGCGAAAGGGGGGGATAGCAAAGGGGGGGGGTGAGAATCAGCTCACGTAGCTGATTTTCCCGGCGCCTCCCGGCGCCAGAGGCGGCTATGTATCGAGGAATGGGCCCCTCGGTGAGGCCGAAACCAGCTGCATGCAGCCAATTTCGTAACCCCCCCTTTCCCAATCCCCCCCTTTCGCCCGGCCTCGTGCGCGCTCTTTTGGCCAGAGGATCCAGGATGCTCCTCGGGGTCAACGCCGAGAGAGAACGCACACGTCCGAGCGATGCCAGGAGGGGTTTCCCCCCTGCCAGGGAGACGTAGGACTCGGGCTCGGGGGACTCGGGTTGGCCTGGCGGGGCCATCATGAGAGTGACGAGACCCTGTCTGAAATTTGACGCGAGCTCCCGCTCCAAACATCCCAGGACAACTGGACCCTCAAAAGCCAGGACACGCGCTCGTCAAAACACGTCGGCAAACCCGTGCTCCGGCGTACTCGAGTCGTGCGTTCCCCCAGCCGTGGCGGCCTCCCCCGCCCGCAGCGCTCCCAGGAGACAGCGGGGCCCTGGCTCGCGGCGCGATGCCCAGGGGGGAGGGGGCGGCGCTGCCTGGAGGGCGGTCTCGAGCGCCTGCACGCGCCCCTGCGCCTGCTCCAGCTCCTCCGCCAGCCTCCGCTCCTGAGGGGCAACGATCAGGGGGGTGGGGTCGCTGGGCGCGCATTCGTTAGAGGCCTCCTGGATGGGGTCGGAGCAGATGGGGTCGGAGGATCGCGGCGCATCGCCGGTGCATCGTCGACGTGGGCGATGCATCGGCGACGTCGACGTGACGCAAATCGGGCCCCACATCGAGCCGCATCGGCGATGCATCGGCGATGCGGCGCGATCCTCCGACCCCATCTGCCCCGACCCCATCTGGGAGGCCTAGATTAATGGGGGGGTGATACATGGGGGGGGGAGATCAGCATAGAATTCGCAGGCCCAACGGGCCAGAGGGGTGCTAAAATCGCCAATAACTGGTAAACACTATTTCAATTACGCGAGAGGGGGCGGCCCCTGGGGGCCCGCGGCCGAAAAGTACCCCGGGCAGGTCCCCGGCAAGGTCTGATCAAAGATGGTTCTGCTCATGGGCGCCGCCCTCAGGGCCGCCCAAGAGCCCCAAGAGCGGTCCAGAGGCCCCCAAGAGGCCCTCTATAGATGGTCCTAGAGGCTTCTGGGACACGACAAGATCGCTCCAGGACATCCAAGATGGCCTCAAGACGGCCCAAGAGGCCCCAAAGAAGCCCCAAGAACGCTCCAAGAGGACCCAAAGAGAGCCAAAATAACTAACAGCTATTGATGTTCCGTTTGCTTTTCGATGTTTTTCGCGTTCTCGCGTTCTCGGGCTTCCGACGCTCCAAGATGGCCTCAGGGGCCAGCCCCAAGGTGGCCCGAGAGGCCCCCAAGAGGGCCCCAAGACCGTCCAAGAGGGCCCCAAGACGGCCCCCCGAGGCGCCCAAGATCGCCCAAGAGGGCCCCAAGACGGCCCCACGAGGGGCCCCAAGAGGGGGCATACGAACCACCAACTCGAGCCTTCCGCCCCAAGAGGCCCGCCCCCACGAGGCGCCAAGAAGCCCCCGAGAGAGCCCAAGAGGCCCCCCTGGAGGCCCCGCGAGGCTCCCAAGAGGCCCCGAAGAGGCCCCCACACGGCCCCCAAGAGGCTCCCAGGCGGCCACGAACGCGCAGGCAAAAACGGGCCGGCGAAATGAGCGAAGCGGTGAAAGAAGCCGTTCCGCCGTCGGGGACGCCTGCTCCCCTGGCGGCTGCAAAATTTACACCCCTACGGCGCCACGTAGGGGTGTAACATTTCCAGCTGCCTGGGGGCAGGCCTCCCCGACGGCAAATCGCTCTGCTTCCCTTCTCGCCTCTTCTCTCCTCCCCCCATCCGTCACATTCCCCCTCTCCTCCCCCTCCGCCTCCTGCACCCCCTTCCCTCACCCCCCTCGCTCCCTTGAGGGGCAACGATAGGGGGGACTGGCGATAGGGAGGGGCTACAGCGACCTGGAATCGGCGACTCATCGCCGACAGAACGGTGACAGGCCCCCGATGGCGAATCCGCGCTCTCCCGAGGCACTATCGGCGATCAGTGGTCGATTCGGGGCCGAGGGGCCGAGGCGTCCCCCCGCATGCCATGCCCCCCTGTCGTTGCCCACTGAGCTCCTCCGTCGGCAGCGGCTGGTCCCTGCTGGCGCACGCGTCCGCAATCTTGGCGGCCAGGATCACGGCCACGGCGGCCGACGAAGACCCCAGGGCCACGGCGGCCCACCCAGGGAGCGTCCCGGGGGCAGCCGCGGGGCTACCCTCGCAGAGGAGCAACACTACACCGGAGAAAATCCACAATCAGGGGATGGTTTTCGATAGAAGAAGATCGACCGGGCACCCGGGAACCCGGAACCAACCGAAATCGGCCCGGAACCCACAACCAGGAATCCGGGAACCCCTGGACCCGGAACCCGGGAACCCAGCCGGCTACCAACGCCGGCGGGAAACTTTCGCCAAATCTTTCAATTTCCGCCAGGACCTGATGGGCCTGTTTCCCACCACCACCACAATAAGTTGGATGGGGGGAAGGAGGAAGAGGAGGACGAGGAGGAGGACGAAGAGGAGGACGAGGAGGATGAGGAGGAGGAGGAGGAGGAGGAGGAGGAGGAGGACCCCCACCCCCTCCAGCTTCTGGTGGTGGTGGTGGTGGAAAACAGGTCCATCAGGACCCCTTCAGTGCAAGCACTGATTGGGGACAAATGAAGGGGCCCTTGGACACGCAAATAAATAGACACTAATAACAAGATTCCCTATAGTTCCCCACATTTTCTGGGCTCCTGTCTTCCCCCCCACTTCCCACACATTTCCCTACATTTTCTGGAGAATCGACGATTACTTGTGCCTCTGTTTATTTTTCCCTCCTGGACAAAAAGGCGTGCCCAGAGATCCGACGCCGTGACTCTTTCAATGCGGGGCCCCTGGAAATCTCGACCCATTCCCCAGGACCGGTTTTTCATCCTGAGTCGTTCTTTGACGGTCCCGAGGCCCAGCGAGGGCCCCTAGAGACCGAAACATGATGGACCTGTTTTCCACCACCACCACCATAAGCTGGAGGGGGGAAGAAGGTGGAGGAGGAGGAGGAGGAAGAGGAGAAGAGGAGGAGGAGGAGGAGGAGGAGGAGGAGACCCTCCCCCTCCAACTCATGGTGGTGGTGGTGGGAAACCAGCCCATCAGAAACATATGAAAAACCTCCGTCTTGATTGCTTCAATGCCTTGGACCTCTGGGTGCACAGACACTCTCGGAGCTCCGCGCGGGCTTCCCAGGGCCTGCGCGGACCGCCCCCCCCCCGGCGCGCGGCGCTCGGACGTGGTGCACCTTCTCTCGGCGAGGGCCATCGAGGAGTCCTCCTCCCTCTCCCTCCTCCTCCTCCTCCTCCTCCTCCTCTCCTCCTCCTCCTCCTCCTACTCCTCTCCTCCTCCTCCTCCTCCTCCTCCTCCTCCTCCTCCTCCTCCTCCTCCTCCTCCTCCTCCTCCTCCTCCTCCTCCTCCTCCTCCTCCTCCTCCTCCTCCTCCTCCTCCTCCTCCTCCTCCTCCTCCTCCTCCTCCTCCTCCTCCTCCTCCTCCCTCCTCCTCCTCCTCCTCCTCCTCCTCCTCCTCCTCCTCCTCCCTCCTCCTATCCTCCTCCTCCTCCTCCTCCTCCTCCTCCTCCTCCTCCTCCTCCTCCTCCTCCTCCTCCTCCTCCTACGCCCGGCGTCGGGCCCCCGGATCCTCACAGCCCGCCCCGGCTCGCAAAGCACCGCAGAAGGATGGGGGAACAGGCCATGGCAGAAGCCGAAACGTTCGGAGGCCTGTGCGGATTTCTCGGATCTGCGCCGAGACCCTTCCCTGACGCGCGGAACCTTCCAGGAGGAGGAGGAGGAGGAGCAGGAGGAGGAGGAGGAGCAGGAGGAGGAGGAGGAGGAGGAGGAGGAGGAGGAGGAGCCGGAGCCGCCGCCAGGGTGGGCCAGCGGTCGTCGTCGTCGTCGTCGTCGTCGTCGTCGTCGTCGTCGTCGTCGCCGCCGCCCGGGAGCGCGGGCCGAGGCGCCAACGTCGCCGCCATGGGTGGCCCCGCGGAGCTCCAAAAGTCACGAGCGCCCGCGCGGTTTGTTTTCCTCGACCTCGGCGGCCTGGGCGTCGCCGTCTCCGCCCGGGGCGGCGTGCTCGGACTTCTGGCTCGCCTGGCCGACGCTCTCGCGGCCCGCCGGGCCGGCGCTGCCGGGTTCTCGCGAGGCCGGCTCGACCAGGCGGCCGCTCTCGCCGCCAGGCTGTGCTCCCGCGGCAGGCCCCGAGACGATGGGCTGGCCACGGCTGACGGTGTCGATGACCTTCGCCAGTCGGCGACACGCAAGAGTGGCCCTGGGTACGAGTGCCCTTTGTGGTGCGCGGTTTTTGGAGGGCCGCCGGGGGGCCAAACACCAGCGCGCAGGTTGCTACGATCGCATCGCGTTCGGCGATCGGGGGACCCCAATGGGCCCGCACCAAAGGTCACCCCGGCGAAGGGTCACTCCTACGTCTAGTCGAACCGAGGCCGATGGTGGCAGACGCAAGAACAGCATCAACAGAACCTGTTCCAGAACTCCGCGCGGATTCCCTGGATCTGCGCTGGAACCCGTCAGGGGCGGCGCACGAGGCTTCACGGGGGGGGGTCCAGCGAAGGTCAAAACATTCGTGCTGAGCTCCGAAAAAAGTTATCTGTATGCCGTTTTCTCGTCTTCGAGATGGGTAGCCAAGTCGGAAAAAGTCGAACCGGCGGAATCGGTAGGCTAGTAGAGCCTCTACGGAAACACCACAAATCCAATTCACATCGAAATCCGAAGTCGAATCGAATCGGCGTCGGACTCGACCGCGATCGAACCGAATCGAGCCGGAGCAGTCGAAACGGAGCACCTTCACCAGGTCCCGTGAGCTAGCGGGCTCGCCAGGGTCTGCCACGGCCGCCGTGCGCGTGGCGCCCTGCTCGCCCAGCCTGGCGAGCCTGTTGTCGAGGCTCTCGGAGGTGCCGGCGGCGCCCGCCTCGCTGGGAGGGGCGCGAGGTCACGGGGAACGCATCCAGAGCACGGGAATGATAGTGGCGATGCTGATGTTGGCTTTGATGAATATGATGCCAGTGATGATGAGGATGGCGAAGGTGAGGTAGAGTAGGACGAGGATGAGTAGGACAAACATGAGTAGGACGATGATGATGATGATGATGCTGCTGATGATGATGATGATGATGATGATGATGATGATGATGATGATGATGATGATGATGATGATGATGATGATGATGATGATGATGATGATGATAATAATGACGACGATGACGACGACGATGACGATGCTGATGACGATGATGATGACGACGATGATGATGATGATGATGATGCTGATGATGATGATGATGATGATGACGATGATGATGGCGGTGATGAAGCGGATAGTGATAGTGATGCAACGGCCGTGAAACATGTTCTTCAGCAGTCAGGTTAGTGAGGTCAGTGACGAGCCGCTCGCACCACGGCAACCGAACCACCGCAGAGGGTGGGCGGCAAGGGGGGAGGGAAAACAAGTGGGCACCGGCCGAGAGAGAGAGGACGAGGGGGAAGACGATCGATCGATCAAGGCCGCTGCATTGGGCAGCCAAGCTCGGCACACCGGGGCCCCCTCGGAGCACCGATGGGTAACTGGCAGCAGCCGAGGGCGGGCAAGGTGCCTCGGACTTGCCCCGACCTCGCGCGAACGAGGGAGAACCAACAAGCAGCGGCGCGCGAGCAAGGGATGGCCCAGCAGGAGGAGGAGGCGGAGGCGGAGGAGGAGGAGGCGGAGGCGGAGGAGGAGGAGGTCGCATCAACTGGGGTGCGATGTGCCCGCACGGGCGCTCTCCCAAGTCCACGGGGGGTAGGGGGGGCCCGATAGGCCACACGAGAGGCGGCCGCTCCCAGCGGGGCGGGCTGCCGACGGGCCCCGGCCCACGCCAACGTGGGCAAGAAAGAGAGCTGCAGGAAGGCAAGATGCAGACAACAAGAGAGCTGGACTAGAATCGAGGTACAACCAGAAGGAACGCCAAATAAGGAACAAAAGGGCTTTTCTGGCCACGGTGGGCCTAGGCCACAAGCCAATCCCGCGACATAAATCTAAGAAGCGACCCAAATCCCCAAGCCCCTTCCGAACCCAAAGCGATCCTTATTTCAGCGTCTTGGCTGTAAACCACAGGGTTACGGACATGATGGACGGCAGATTGAATCGGGAAGCGGCGCTGCGTGAGTAGCCTCTGCCTGCCTTCTAAGATGTGTTCAAGCGACGCCCCCCCCCCGGAGCAGTCCGCAACCGCAGCCGAGCGCGGGACCCAGACCCCCGACGTCATGATTGGTTCAAAACGTCGACCCCCAGGGGTCCCGACCCATTCCCCGGGACCGGTTGTTCATCCCGAGTCGTTTTCTGACGCTCCCGAGGGCCGGTAGGGGCCCCCAGATGCCGAGAATTGCGAAACACCTCCCGTCATGATTTTTTCATTCCTCGATGGGGGTCTGGGGAGTGAACGAAGCATTCGACGAAGGTGCAGAGGGTCACAGCACGCTCAGCGTCGGGAGAGCCCGACCGTCGACGCAGCAGAGGGCCGAGGAAGGGGAAAGCAAGGCCAGGATGGGGCGGGGGGACGGGCCCAGGTCGACAATGGAGAACCAACCCGTGGGGCCGTGGTCATCATCATATCCTCATCATCATATCCTCGTCCTCATGATCATATTCATCCACACTCTCATCCTGATCATCATCATCATCATCATCATCATCATCATCATCAACATCATCATCATCATCACCATCATCATCATCATCATCATCATCATCATCATCATCATCATCATCATCATCAGCATCATCACCATCATCATCATTATCATCATCATCATCCTCAATCTAGTCCTACTCATCCATGTCCTGCTCATCCTCGTCCGTTCTACCTCATCTCCGCCATCCTCAGCATCACCAGCATCATCTTCATCAAAGCCAACATCAGCATCGCCACTACCCCAAATCCCTCATTAATCGCCCCCCGGGTCTGGTTTCTTAAGGCGCCTGTTTTGTAACTGGGGGGGTCCAGTTTATTGGGGCGCTTTCTATGGATTCGAGCTTAGGGGGTCCAGTTTATTAAGGCGCTCCGTCGAAGAGGGGGGGGATCCAGAATATTAGGTCGCATTTGGAGGGGGGTCTAGTTTTTCTGGGGGTCGATTAAGAATGGATTTGGAGTAGCGACACTCATCGTCGGGACAATCGCGACAGCGAAAACGACCAAACTCAGGCTGCGTGCGAAAGCGAGCCGAAGTCCAGAGTCTTCGGCACAGGGACCGCAGGGTCGCAACAACCAAGAAACCGCCCAGCAAACTTTGCGCAGTGCAAATTGCAACAAAAAACCAACTGCAGGGGGAAGGAGGGGAATGCAGCATTATTCTGGCATGTTCGCCAGCCATCACGCCACACTGCTACGCATCTCTCAAGGAACAAATGAGCTGGGCTTGCGTCGCAGGCGCTGGGTCGCCAGGGCAGAGCTGCGCGGGGAGCGGGGGGGGTCCTGCAACGCCGCCGTAATAAAATCCGCCGATCCGGCGTGTGAGTTTCAAGGAGTCTCAGCTACAGCCTCGAGGCTGAGCCTCAGCCTCTGGGGGGGTTGCCGGGGTGGCTCTGCCGGGGAAGGGGGGGATAAGGGGGGGGGGGTGCGAGTTTCCGGCGGATGCGTTTTTTGACACCCGTCACAAGGATCGTGGCCTCCGAGGGGGTTCCGAACTCGAGTACCACCCCTCCCGCACCAAGAAGCTCTGAGGAGGCCTCCAAGAGGCCCCAAGGGGCGCAGAAGAGGCCCCCAAGAAGCCCCAAGAGGCTCCCAAGAGACCCCCAAGAGGCCCTCTAGTGGCCCCAAGAGCCCAAGAGGCCCCCAAGAAGCCCCAAGAGGCGCCCAAGAGGCCCCCAGAAGTCCCAGCCAACCACGAGATCCCAACCAGCATCCATGAGGCCTCTGACCCACCACCCACGCACGGTGGCGGGATAGGCCGACGGCCACTGGATCCGCCGCCCCCTGCTTGCAGGGGTGCACGGCGTGCTGGATGATTCAGTTTTGGTTTTGGTTCTTTTTCTAAAAGAACTCCCCAGTGGGCTTCGGCCCGTCCCGCCGGCCACCCGTAAATTTCCGAAAATCCGTCTGTCAATGCCTTTGTTGCCCCAACTTGGCCCAAGATGGCCTCCAAGACGGCCAAGATGGCCCAAGATGGCCTCCAAGATGCTTCCAAGACGGCCACGATGGCCTCCAAGACGGGTAAGATGGCTCCAAGATGCCTCCAAGACGGCCCAAGATGCCCTCCAAGACGGCCAAGATGGCCCCAAGATGCCTCCAAGATGGCCCACGAGGCCTCCAAGACGTTCTCCAGGAGAGCCCGAAGAGGCCAAAATCATTGGTTTGTCCTTAGGTTTTTGAAGGTTTTTTGCGTTTTCATCTTTTCGGCCTTCCGACGGCCCAAGAGGCCCCCAAGATCGCCCAAGAGGCCTCCAAGAAGGCCCTATGACGGCCCAAGGGCCCCCCAAGACGGCCCCAAGAGCGCCCCAAGACGGCCCAAGAGGCCTCCAAGACGCCCAACATGGCCTCCAAGACGGCCCTGAAGCGCCCCAAGAGGGCCCCAAGACGGCCCAGAGAGGCCCCCAAGACGGCTCCAGACGGCGTCAGACGGACCAGGAACGCCCTAAGACGGCCAAAGAGACCCCCAGGAAGCCCCCAAAGGCCCCCAAGAGGCCCAAGGAGGCCCCCAAGATGCCTCCAAGAGGCCTCGAAGAGGCCCCCAAGAAGCCCCCAACAGACCCCAAGGGTGCCCCAAGAGACTCCTAACAACCCTCATCCTCCTACTCTATTTCTTCCTCTTCCTCTTCCTGTTCATAATCATTCTCTCCCATGTGTTCCCCGAAAGCTTTCCAAACCGACTCGGGGAACTCATGGTCCGATAGCTTGGCCAAGCTCTAGTCCAACTTTCGGCCACATCGGCGTTTCCAAAAAGGCAGGGGGCGGCGGTGATTCGCCGTAGGCGTCTTCGATAAATGCTGAGTGAGAGGAGGGGAGGGAAAAAGAGAGGAGGGACGAGGGCGAAGAAGGATCACATCAGTCGGAGCGCCCCGGATCGGCGGCACTGGCCGAAGGCCACTACAATCAGTTCGAATGCGGCCGCGAGAAAATCAACCCAAAATGGAGTCCATGGAATGACCGCATCTGCTGCAAGTCGCTTCGGGGCCGTCGCCAGTCCTGGGCCCCCTGGGCACGGCGATATACAAACGCTTGCGCAATGCGATGAATTGAAAAGCGCTGCGCGTTGCAGCCTGCGCCGAAGGCCAGTTTGGATGATCTGCAACGACCTATCTTCCTATCTTCAAGTTGGCACAGAAGCGGCGCGGGGCGATGAAATTGGAACGCGTAGCCGAGTGCGGAGACAGCGCAAACGCTTCAGGCGAAGATCGGCCCCGCTTGGCTGGCGCCCACGAGGCGAATCTTACACGCGCGAATACTTGTCAGACTGGGTCGGGGAGCTATTGCGGTGAGCATAAGGCCCCCGCAGACACCCCCAGACCCCTGCACCTAGCCACCAAGGAGAATTGCTCACAGCCACCGCCAAGTCTCAAAGAAATGCCCGGGACGGCATTCACGCCCGTAGGCCCACAGACAAGAACAGACCATTCCCCGAAATGCAACCCCAGCTCGATAGCATCAGCGAGCACGCAGACCTTATCAAACATCTGGCCCAAGAGAATAAACGGTGCGCCCAGAAAGGGTCGAAGGTCGCCCGCGTGACCTGACAGGCTGACCCCAACGGGAAGTGCAGCGATTAGCCAACGGCATACTGAGCCCACGGCCGACAGGAGCATAGATGCAGGGCAACCCTGACGGACCCCACGACCCACCAAGAAGGAGGCCAGGGCTACGCCGCGGAAGTGCACCTGAGCAGCCTTGCCCTGGCACAGATTATCGGAAAGCCGATCCGTCCATGCAGAGCAACCCA